TTTTATCATTGCTGATGTCTTTAGAACTGAATCTGCTATTTCAATCAATATCCACTAGTTCTACTTCAAAAATGAGTTTTGCATTTGGTGGAATTCTGTTGAAAAAGTCAAGGTGAATTTGATAAAAAGGGCCTCTTTCCTACCCCCAACAACCCTAGTCTAGAACTATAATTATGTATACTGGATGTTAGTAATTAACCCCAAAGGGAAGAGCTTTGTAGATGATTCAGAGGCTAATACATAACTACCATAGAGAGTCCTAAAAATATCTATAATGATAAATGGAGACCATAACTTACCAGTATAAACTAACTAGATGAGTTGAGCTTGGACTTGGATCCTCCTTACCTGGATGCCTTACTAGTACTCTAAAATTAGCTACCACTTAATGAAGGCTGCTACTAAGTACTCAAAAAAAAAAAAGTAACTTCAGTCTCTGTGTATATGCTGTATTAAAGTTTATATGAGATAGTACATGATATTTACTATGAATTTTAAGATGCTAAATTCAGAGAAGGGTATAATTTATGTGCATCAGATTGGTCTTGAGATGCTTCACATGGGAAAGGAGGAGTTCCAAGTGGCCATGATTTTGATAAGCTAAGAAGAGAGAGCTATTATATTCCCAAATAAGTTTAACTCACAAGACTATAGAGAGACTTTCTAAAAAATTTTTTTCCAAACTTAGATTCTAACTGGTCCAATGGGAATGGAACAAACAACAGCTATAAACTGCCTTCCCACTTATCTATTAGATTGGTCTGGTCTGAATGGAGTCATTGCTTTTTTTTTTTTTTAGATGTTCACAAACTGGACTTATCAGAGAAATACTGTCATTAATAGTAATAAATAATGCTTACTAACACTATGTTGATCTTATGGTCTCCTTCATTTTACAACTGATAATCCCTAACATGTACTCCATTTCTAAGCTTTGAATTTAATTGCCTGAAATTATCAGTAGCATGAAATTAACATGAGCCAAATTTGTATCAGTTCCTACAGTTGTTTGTATTGGACAGCATAAATTCTTGACGTAAACCATTTAAACATTAAGAATTGCCTTTCAAAGATGAAAGCTTAAACATAACAGTTAAGGTCTTGAAGGTTAAGAACTTGAATAAGAGAATAAAAGGAAGATTCCAGCTCAAGTTGTAATACCTTGTACCAATAGAAAATATTAATAACTGTTTTCTATATTGGGGATGTTGACATGAAGTATCTAAATATCAGGAAGGACAGGATTTCTGATTTGGAGGTTAGACTAGACAGCATCTTTCATACCTTCCAATAACCTTTCTTTACTGTTTTTTTTTTCCTTTAATTATGAAAGGAAAAAAGGATACTTGGCATCAGGCTGTCCTTTCTTTCCATAAGCCCATTCTGGTTCAATCTCCAGTCGAGCCTTTTCTCCTTTACTCATAGTCAAGAGCGCTTCATCCCATCCTCTGATAACTTTGCCTACTCCAACCTTAAAACTTAAAGGCTTGGCATTTTTCTTCTTCTTTGAACCTGTAAAAGAGATTTTCCTTATAATTAGTGATACGCTAATTTTTTATTAAGATATTAAGTTCCATTGGAAAAATATAGTTTAATTGATTTCAGAGTTATAATACTATGTATTTGAAAAGAAAGAAAAATTTAGAAAGCCAAGTAAATCATCAAGAAAATTCCAGATGTTAAAATAATTATACGGTCTAAACAAAGGGTAAAGGGGTAGGACCTACTTTTATACCAATAAAATAGGAAACTACTCTGCCTTTTCTATTAAAATTCTAAAGCATAACTTTGGGACATTAACCAAGTTTAGACTAAGCTTCCTCATATTTTAGTTCCCAATGAATAAGAAGTCTTTAGCCCGCCAATAATCAGTGAGCTGAAGACCTCTGCCAAGTAAATCATAGGTACAAAAGACATCTGGAAAGCAGCAGATGGACAGCCAAGAAAAAGATAATGCCAACCACTCATGTTTCTGCCACACAAATATTTTGCAATGTCTTTAAGCCAAAAAGATAAGATTACATTTAGACTTACTTGTTTGAATATTAGTATCAAAAACAGTCCCATCTTGTAGTGTTCCTGTATACCAGCAGTGAACAACATCTCCCTTTTTGGGAAAGTTGGTTTTATCTCCCTTTTTTAGAACAGATTTTGTATATTTTGGTGGACCCTAAAAACAAAATTAATTCATGTCCTTTAGAAGAATGACAAAGAGAATACCTGTCTAGGCAACAATGACCAGAGTCAGATCATCGAGTTTGATAGATTTGGTAACAAACTGTTATGCCTCTAGTCCACCTCTGTAAGTTACAAATAAACTATCTCATTTCAAGGCTGTGATGTGAAAATCAGTAACTTACACTTCTATAATTTAATTTGAAATAACTTCCAGCTTCTTTGGAAACCAAAATTCTTTTGACAAGATTTTGTTCTGTTTATTATTCAACAAACCATAAAATGAATCCAGTTATTTCCTAAGGTTAGAAAAATCGTTACCATTTAATTCCCACAAAATCGTAAGGCATTAAATAAAATATTGACTTTCCTCCCAAACATCTGAATTGTTTTAGCAGCAATAATTGATATTTCCAAATGTTTTTATTATATGTAATTAGAATGAATACAATGATGTTGCCTCTGTCTCTGAAATTGAAAATAAGTTCACACAATGAATGAAATCACCTATAAAAATTGCCATAATGGGCATATTTCCTAGAATAAAGCAGGATTATCAGGGCCTTTGCCAAAAAAGGTTACAGGCTAATCTAATCAATGATAATTCACATATGTGAGGAAAGCATGGAGAAGATGATCTGTCAAGACTCTTTAGGGGGTTAAAAAAAAAAAAAGAGTTGGGGCAAATGTAAAAGTTTCCTTACCTAAATATATTTGGTTTCTGAATTCAGACATGGAGGGGTCTACATTACTACATTATCCAAAACCGTATTTGGTTCCTAAATTTCATAAAACAAGTAGCAAGAGTGTGGTTGGATTATCAAAGAGTTTGGAAAGCAAAAGAAACTTGTTTATTCCTCATCTATCTATAATTGTTTAAATCATGCAAATTTTAATTCACTTTCACTTCCCTAGTCCAGGATTTTATCTCTATCCAAAATTTGCTAAGTGAAAAAAAAGTCTCATCTCCCTGCAAATAGTCTACTCCTTTGACAAAGATTTTCTCCTTGACCAAGCTCTAACCAGGATCCTCTGAGAGCCCTCTTCTCAACGAGGCCTCAACCTTGGTCTGTAAAGACTTGAACACACACTAACAGCTCAAGGCAGCTAAAAGAATTTATTGTTTGTTCTACCTAACACCTAGAGATAGGACCCCTGTTTCCCAACCTCCAGAGGGTAGGAAGGAGTCTAACTTTGATGAGCACCAGTTAGCAAACCCAGATGGGTTCCATATGGACCAATCTCCCCTCTTTCTGCTTTTTGTAATTTTTACTTTCCTGACTGCTCAAGTTCCTCCTTACTCCCTCAATTCTTTCAGAAGGCCCAATGGAAGGCAGCTCATCTCTTTTCCCTACTGTCAGTAGACTGAATAAAATCTGTTTCACAACTTTAATGTCTTAAGACTTCAGTCAGTCTTCCACTTAATTGCTGGAATAATGTTAATAATTACTGCTTATAGTTTTGTGACCAAAGGCCTAGGCCATTCAGGATTTTAATCTTAATAGAGGTGATTGACAAAATCTAGTAACGTGTCCCAAATTAGAAAATAATTTTAATTATGTGTGAATGTTCAAAATATCTTAAGACTTATTAAAGAAATTGCATTTAACCAGTTGAATGGATAAGGTCTGATTAGTGAACAGTAGCTACATTTAAAATTTTAATGTCACTGCATTGTTTTCTTATTTGTTGTCACATTAGAGATTCTAGAATAATGCGAATATATTAAATAGGTGGTTATGGCTCAGTCTGGTGGTGGTCCTAATCTGCCCACAAATGGCCTTCATTTCAGTATTTCACAAAGTGTTTTTTATGGATCACTCATTCCTTGGCAAGGGGTCTAATGTAATTAAGTTTGGGAAACGCTACTAACCAAGTTAAGTAGCCCTCTGTTATGCATGACTTCTCAGAGCTGTCATTAGCTGATATGCACTGTGAATCTTCAAGTGGGAGACACAGGTTCAAGTTTTGATGGCCCCAGAAAGCAACCTACAGCTTCTTGGCCCTATCTACCATACTTTGACAAATGCTGCTCTAGTTATTTCATTTGATTCCGAATTTCACTGCAAGAACCTGGTTGGTTCATGGTAAGAGATCAGATCAGCCCTAAGGCCAACCTGCAATTATGTGCTTGAAAAGGCCTGGCTTTTACGCAATTTCCTGGCTTTCCGGCAACTTCTCAGCCCAGAGTGATGAAAAGAACTACATTCCTGAGAGTGGGTCTGAACTAGATAACTTACAGAACCAGAGATAAAGGAACTTTAAGAGTAATTATTACAACTGCAATTAAATGGATCACATTTTAGCCTCTAAAAAGAGTGTATTACATAGTTATTCTAATTATTAAACTCAAGGAATACCGAAGTATGTTCTACATTAGAAACGAGAGATACACAGGTGAGTTGGCAGATGGGGTCCCTGCTCTACCTCTAGTAGGAAATATAGACATGTATAATTACATATGAGACCTATAGAGGAAACACCAGGTGCTAAGATGGGAATGACACAGTGACCTAACCCCAGTATAGGCCATAGGCTGCGAGAGGTTTCTTTGAAGAAATGATACTTAAATTATACCCTGAAGGGCAAGAAGAGGTTAGCTAGGTAAATGGAGGGGAAAGGCTTAAAACAAGGAATAACATTTTCATAGCAGGGAAGAGCATGAATATATTATCGTTTGCAAGGAAGTAAGGGCAGAATGGCATGAGATGAGAAAGACATGCAAGATGTTAGGAATCTGGATTTTTTATCTTTAGGTCACTAAGCAGCCAAATAAGCTTTTTAAACAGAGAAGATGTAGAATCAGATTTGTGTTTTAAATAGATTACTGTGACCAGAGTATAAAGAATGAATTGGGAAGCAAAAGTGGAAGTGGAGAGACTTGTTAGGAAGAAAATTATTATAGTAGTCTAGGTCTAGACCAGGGTACTAACAGTGAGAATGATAAAGATGAATGGCTTTGAGATATATTCTGGAGGCAGAATCGACAGAAATTGGTAATGATCACATACGAAGAGGTTATCAAGTTTTTGGCTTGAGTACTTTTATACTCATTTCTGACTGCTGAGTGTGAGTTCTTGCCCCAACTTATATTTTCTCCCCTTTGCAATACTCAATCACACTTGAAAATGTTCCTCAATACTATTTAATTGATAATGGACAAAATATATTGACTATGACTGACTTAAAGTCCAATAATAGCTATTAGACAAGGTTCTTTAAAGTATATAAGGTATAAATAAACAATAAAGATACAATGTGTTACAGAAATGTATGCAGTTAAGTATAAGCCAGGCACGGTGGGTTGCACCTGTAATCCTAGCTACTCAGGAGGCTGAGGTGGGAGGATCAAGAGATGCCAGGAGTTTGAGACCAGCTTGAGCAACACAGTGAGACCCTCTACCTAATAAAAAAAACCAAAACTTTTTTTTAAATTAGTCAGCTGTTGAGGCATATGCCTGTAGGCCCAGCTACTTGGGGAGCTGAGGCTGGAGTATCACTTGAGCCCAAAGATTTGAGTCCAGCCTGGGCAACAAAGTGAGACATCATCTCTAAAAAATAAATTAAAAATTAAAAAAAGAATATGTCATTTAAATCAATACATCTAAAATAATATCATTTCAACATGTAATCAAAATAAAAAATATTGAGATATTTTACATTCTTTTTTTAAAAAAATCATACTAAGCCTTTGAAATTGACTATGTATTTTACACTTAAAGCACATTTCAATTCGAACTAGCCAAAGTGCTCAATAGCCACATATAGCTAGTGACTACCCTACTGAACAGTGCAGTTCTACATGGCACAGAATTACTGAAGATTTTTGAGCAAGGTATGCTTTACAAAGTATTGTTTTAGAAAGCTTATTAAAATAGCCATTTTGGGGCTTAATGGATGAAGAAAGAGAATGGAGCCAGGAGATGAGCAACTTTTCCAACATTCCAGGTCTGAGACCTGGCTTGGATTGCTTGAAAATGGAAAAAGAATAAAGATTTGAAAAAGAAGGGAGATATTTGACAGTATTGGTCCTGAAGGACACATGAAAAAGAAAAGGAGAACCAAAGATTCAGAGAACTTTTAAGCTGGGAAGAAGGGAATGGTTATTGCTATAGATATTTACATTTTGGTAAAATAGAATACAGGAGCATATAAGAAGAAGGGAGTAAGAAAGGACTGAGAATTTATGAGAAAATGTCAAGTAGTTTATCTGGGCCATGTGATAGGGAATCTGGTGAGGGATGGTGTAAATGTTGCTGAGTAGCAGTGAAACTAGAAAACATGCTTGGTTGATACTAAGCATGAATTTATACCAGGCCAGATCAGTTTTATGATTATGTCTCTTTACAGTGCTTGTTCTCCAGTCCCAAAGCATGAACAGAGAGTAGATCAGCAACACAGTGGACTAGAGGTTATGGTATCTAGGGTGCTAGGAAGATGAGTACATATTATAAATGGGCCCAAGCTGGCCAGTTAAATGCAAAGAGGTCTTAAATAAAATGATATAGTTAAGGACCCTCACAAGATCTCTCTAGATTGTCCCTAGCCCTTATAAATTTGCCTTTTTTTAATTTATTTTTAACTCCTTTTCTTAACCCCTTAATGATATACTATCTGCCTGCTAATACTACCCTCATTCTAATTTTCTGGGATGTAAAGTATGTTGCCAATTGCTTCTAAAACCCTTTAGTAATCATCAATCTATTTACCTCAGTAGCTGCTCAATAGATACATTTATCAAATATTAGTTGTATAAACTTTAAAATTGCTTTATATGTGTATATACTCATAAATATTAATTTGTGCTTTTCAAATAGGAAAAGGTCATGAAAATTAACTAGCTTCAATCATACAAACATCTATAATATACTTGAACTTAAATTCTTTCCACAAATAACCAAATGCTACATCTTCATCAATAGGCTACACCTCTATACAAGAATTAAAGATAGATTATTATCACTGATAGTAAGGCTAGCAATGAGTGAACTTAGTTGGCAGGGTATTATCAGAAATGGCAAGATTATAATCAATTCAGCTCTGCTAAGGTTGTTCATTTACAGAAATAATTTTATCTGGTTCTTCAAACCTTTGTACCAAAATATAAAACCTGGGTTGGCTAAGTTGAGACAGATGAACTCACACCCTGCAGCCAGGCCTGGATTATTTCTATTGCCAGGGACACCATGTACATTAGAAAAAGCTAAAAATACTCA